TCAGTCCACAAACTGGTGGGTGACGTCACGATGACGATGTCCACTTCCTGTTTACAGTTTTATGTTCAGGTACCCCGAGCAGCTTTTTGGGGCCGTTTTAAGTTACTCGTTGTAATAATAATATTATTCTCCTTCAGACCGTCGGCTCCAAAGATGCCCGACGGGGAGAAAGTGGACTTTGATGTAAGTTGAGTCGTCTTTGTCCCTAATCTCCCTCATCAGACCTCCAACCCTCACATTTACTAACAAGTACTGCACTTGAGTACAAATGTGAGGTACTTTTACTTTAATGACACTTTCTCCTTTGTCCTCTATTACATACTACAAAAAGAGTCTGCAAAATGAAGAAAGCTATTGGCAACTGTTTCCATCATTTTGTTATACTGCTTGTTTTTAATAAGGTTTGGACTGTTTGTTAGTGACAGCCGTCTCCTGTCCGTCCCTCTCAGGACATCCAGAAGAAGCGTCAGAACAAAGACCTGGTGGAGCTGCAGTCCCTGATCGACGCTCACTTTGAGCACAGGAAGAAAGAGGAGGAGGAGCTCCTCGGCCTCAAGGACAGGATCGTGAGTCAACACACATGAGACGTCCACCCGATAACATGCATTTATATACATATATATCTATATGACTTGTGTGTGATGTCGTCTCTGCAGGAGAAACGTCGCTCTGAGCGAGCCGAGCAGCAGAGGGTCCGAGCTGAGAAGGACAAAGAGCGGCAGGCCAGGAGGGAGGTATTCAGAACCTTCCTTCAAGTTACAAACTGTTGTACAAACTCAGGAGAACAAGAAACAAGAAAGTGCAATTTCCTCAAATAAGCCAATTTACAATTTGCTATAGATGAGTGACGTTACAAGTACAATTTAAGTGCTACAATTTGTTAGTCTTTAGTCGAGGTAGAGTCTGAAGAGGTGTGTCTTTAGTTTGCGGCGGAAGATGTGAAGGCTCTCTGCGTCTTATGGTAGATCCTTATCGTACCTTTACTTATTTTATCGTATTGTTTCCTCATTGTGTCCTCATTGTATCCTCGTCGTATCCTTATTGTGTCCTCATTGTATCCTCGTCATACCCTCATTGTGTCCTCATTGTATCCTCGTCGTATCCTTATTGTGTCCTCATTGTATCCTCATCATACCCTCATTGTGTCCTCATCATACCCTCATTGTGTCCTCATTGTATCCTCATTGTATCCTCGTCGTACCCTCATTGTGTCCTCATTGTATCCTCATCATGCCCTCATTGTGTCCTCATTGTATCCTCATTGTATCCTCGTCATACCCTCATTGTGTCCTCATTGTATCCCCGTCGTACCCTCATTGTGTCCTCATTGTATCCTCGTCATACCCTCATTGTATCCTCGTCGTACCCTCATTGTGTCCTCATTGTATCCTCGTCATACCCTCATTGTATCCTCATCCTAGCCTTATTGTATCCTCATTGTATCCTCGTCGTACCCTCATTGTGTCCTCATTGTATCCTCGTCATACCCTCATTGTATCCTCATCCTAGCCTCATTGTATCCTCATTGTATCCTCGTCGTACCCTCATTGTATCCCCATTGTTTCCTCATTGCTTCCTTATCGTATCCTTATTGTGTCCTCCCTACCCTTAAGGTATCCCCGTTAAGTTACTCCTAGAACTCCTCTTTGGAAATCCAGTCATATCCTGATGTGTTTAAACTGTGTTCATAGGCTGAGCGGCAGAGGAAGGAGGAGGCCGACGCCCACTGGAAGGCGGAGGCAGAAGCCAAGAAGAAGATAGCGCTGAGCAGCATGGGGTCCGGCTACAGCAGCCACCTGCAGAAGGTCCTCTCGGTTGTTCCTGTGATTCCGAACCAGGGGACGACGTGTTGTTTTATTTGTGTTTAAAACGATCGGATTTTGTTTCTAGATTGAGACCAAAAGAGGAAAGAAGCAGACGGAAAGAGAGAAGAAGAAGAAGATCATGACGGAGAGATGCAAACCCCTGAACATCGAGGGCTTCACCGAGGACAACTTGAGGTACTCAACGTTGGACAGACAAGATGAATAGACGAGTAAATAAATAAATGAGCTCACGAGCAGTGAGTGAGGAGTCTGCAGGCAATCGAAATATGACATCATTATATGTTACACTTCATGTCTATTTCTGGTGTTGCTCAGAATGTCCCATGAACAGAGGTGTGATGTCTCTAAAACACTGACACACTTATTCATCTAATAGAATAACGACGTTTGCTTCCTGGTTCTGGTCTGCAGGGAAAAGGCGAAGGAGCTGTGGGAGTGGCTTCACAACCTGGAGGCCATTAAATACGACTACTGCGAGAAGCTCACCCGCCAGAGATACGAGGTCAGTGAGGAAGCCTTCTGGGAAAAGGTCCAGTAGCTTAGTTTGTTGCATTTGGGGTACATTGTATGAATCTACTGTAATCTGTATGGAATGAAAATCTAGCTGGTAGGTCCTATAGGTTGAACCTCTCGGGTCACCTGGAGACGTGCAGGTGAGAAAGTGTCTTTGTCTTCCAGGTCGTCTCCCTGAGGAACCGCATCGACGAGCTGCAGAAACAGTGAGTAAAGGTTACGTCAAGAGGTCAAACTCTGTGTTAGAACGAATCAGAATCATGTTAAACTTTCTGATGGAAATTGAGGAATAATCAAAATGTGGGAATGTTTTAAAATTCCTTCATATTGCGATGATATCCTTTAATGTTTAATAATATAATAGTTTGTTCGAATCTAGTAATAGAAGACATATATGATTGAACATCTGACTAAAGCTGTCAAATAGATTTTGTTTATGTATAAATACATGAAAACTAAGTACCACTAACTACTGTTTTTATTAGAACTTTCATTTAACCACCAATCACCATACTTTATTTAATGGCATTTGGTTTGGTTTTTAAAGTAAAAGTAATGGGATTATAGATGAACTCAGGAAGATTTCATTCGTAGTAAAATCATCTGGACACTAGAAGGCGATGCAGCTCAAACAAACACCTCCAGAAGTCTTCATTTCTCTTCTCTTGCTTTCTTTTGTATTTAAGCATCTCATACATATTTAAGCATCCGCGCTTCTGTAATATCCAAAGCCTCCCTGCACACATGACGCTGCTTTCTGCACGTTGCGCTTTGCAGCAGCAAGAAGGGAGCCGCAGCGCGCCGCAGGAAGTGAGCGGCTGCTGAGCGACCGTCTGCCCGGAGAAGAGGCGCCTCGCCCCGGCCACAGCGGCCGCCCAGAGCCGGTCCGCTCCCGGAGCTCCGGAGCGGCCAGTCGGTGTCTCTGCCTCTAATGAACACATTTTAAAATGTCGTCACTGTGTTTGTGTAAAAAAAAAAAAGAGAAAATATTCAGACAATAAAATGAAATAATGTTGATCACGAAGTTTGTCTCCATCGATCTGCTTGATCAATTGATTATCTTCTAGTTAACAGTAGGTTCCTGCTGAAGGGCTTGTGATTCAATGCAAACAGGTGCATCATGGCTCAGAGGGCTGGATTTCATCTACCTGCAGTACAATAGTATACTAGTATATTAGTACTACAGTGTTCATTTCGCCGACGAAAACTATGACGAAAATGTTTCGTTAAGAACCTTTTTTCCACGACTAAGACGTGACGATATAATTAAATAAAAACTATGACTAAATCTATTCTAACTTTCGTTAACGAGACGAAGTCACGATACTTTTTCCCCCCTAAATTCGCACGCAGCTGACAGACAACAGACCGGCAAAGTACGGCGGATATTAACGCGTCATGATGACGTCATCCACCAACCCAGAACGCGCGCAGCGGTGGTTCTTGTGCACCGACTACGGACCGCGACGACTATTTTACGCTTCGGCGGGTTTGAACGTGGCTTCGTTAGTTCAGCTTCGCTGTCTCGGTTGTAATAAAGCCATTGCAGGTTCTGAAGCCTCACGCGTTTCTACTGTAGTTCACGCGCCACATCGTGAGGAGACGCTGTTAAACCGTCTCGGCCACCGTACGCTCGTTACTAAGCAACGTAGAGGCGCCACACACGTGACAGGTGGGTCCTTTTGATAGAAGTGCGCAGTGCAGGTGGAGGAAAACCCGCAGGACACAAGAGACAAGAACTGGTCATGAAACCAACAAATAAACAAAGAAAAGACTGTTGAATGAAAAGTGGGGGTCCAGTTTAGAACGGCTGCTTTATGATGCAGCCAAGAAAATAATGTATTGCACCGATTGTAGGACGTTAAGGACTCTTTAGTTGGGACAGTGGAAACAATAAAGGACCATGAAGTGTCAAAAGCACTGCAAGTAAACAGACAAAGACAACAAAGTGTTGCGTTTAGGTCCCTGGTCCTCATGAAGTTGTTACACCTTTGCCAATTTGTTAAATTGCCTTGCAAATAAATGCTTTGCTATTTGTTAAATCCTTTCATGTGATGATGTTTCACATGTCATTTATATCCGCTCACACAAACACTTCAACCGTTTGTTCTTGGCCTCCGTCACATTTTACAACCCACTGTGGCCCCGAGTCAGAAAGTCTGTCGACCTGCTATAGACCTGTCCTATGAGGGACATCTATAGAGCTGTCCTATGAGAGACATCTATAGAGCTGTCCTATAGGAGGGACATCTATAGACCTGTCCTATAGGAGGGACATCTAATGGACAACCAAGTACTCCAAGCTGGACTATTATGCAGCTGCAGACACACCACAGGGGTCCCTGGGCCTGAGAAGGGAAGAAAAGGAGTTTAATGTGGCTGTTAAATGTGACTAAAACTAATTTTTTGTCTAAAGACTAAGACTAAATCAAAAATAGCTGCCAAAATGAACACTGTAGTACTAGTATACTAGTAGTAGTAGTAGTATATACTACAATAGTACACTAGGACATTTTCCTCAGTGTCTCAACGCACTTTGTGTGTGTGTGTCAGCGACGGAGTTCTGTCACTTTGAGGTTTTCAACACTCAGCTTCAGAGAATGAAGCGTTTCACTTAGTGATCGAGGCTCTATGAACATATGAGAAGTAACTGGACGATTCTACTGAGTATAAATATTACTTTTATTAAAATTCCATTCACTCATAAATAATAGAATATAGAAACATATGACACAACATGTGTGCGTGTGCATGTGTGTGTGTGTGTGTGTGTGTGTGGTATACAGCTCTTATTTACAGGTTTATAAAATGGTCCTCATGCAGTTCTCAGTTCTGCACTAGAAAAATATCCTTTCATCCGCGATGAGGTTGTTGGAACGAAGCAGCAGCTTCCGTCCGTTGGAGCCTCTCGCTTCAGGAGGACGCCGTTAGTTTGTTGGGGGACAACGAGTCCTCGACTCTGTTGCGTCCAGCAGAGGAACCGCAGCCTGCAGGGCTGCTCTGAGGCGACCCGGGGCCCCGAGGGACCACGCTGTCCCCCGGGGGGACCACAGCTGGATCTGTGCTGATGCGCTCCACGATGCTGGACAGACAGGCCAGTGGTTTAGTGCCGCTGGAATCTGGAAAAAGATTGAGACCATAAACGAATGTTTACAATGTTTACTGAGGGAATAAATCCAGAGAGAAGTATTTCCTCATAGACGTCTATGGGAGCAGAGGAGTCGCCCCCTGCTGGTCACTACAGAGAAGTAGAGTCATTTCCTCATAGACGTCTATGGGAGCAGAGGAGTCGCCCCCTGCTGGTCACTACAGAGAAGTAGAGTCATTTCCTCATAGACGTCTATGGGAGCAGAGGAGTCGCCCCCTGCTGGTCACTACAGAGAAGTAGAGTCATTTCCTCATAGACGTCTATGGGAGCAGAGGAGTCGCCCCCTGCTGGTCACTACAGAGAAGTAGAGTCATTTCCTCATAGACGTCTATGGGAGCAGAGGAGTCGCCCCCTGCTGGTCACTACAGAGAAGTAGAGTCATTTCCTCATAGACGTGTATGGGCCGGTGTGGATGCGGTACGAACCGTCGCTGTTCTCACTCCTGATGGAACACGGAGAGATGAAGTCCATCTGAAACACATCCATACAGCACATCTCAGCCGGGAGACTTCCAATTAACAATCAATTAACTAACAGACAGCTAATAAAACTCTAATGTGACTTATGTGTACGGATTGAGCTTTAAACAGTTACTATTTGTTTTGCACACATATTTCTATTTATTTAAAATATTTGTCAAATTAAAATAAACTTACATATACATATATATATATATATATATATATATATATATATATATGTATATATATATATATATATATATATATATATATTAACATTCAATTATCATTTATAAACTTAAAAAAGGATTTGCTTTTGCAACAAAACAATAAAAAAAAATCAGGTTTCCTGTATTTTAGATAAACAGCTGACATTTTTTCCACATTGGCTTAAATAAATAAGAAGAGTTTAGTTCACCACTTGACTTCAAAGAGAATATTTCACACTTTAGTGTAAAATCTGATCTGATTTTAAATCTGACCCGTTTACGCATTCGAGCTCCGCGGCCATAAATAACATAAAAAGAAGGCCGGACATTCCGGGCGCGTCGGCGGACAGCTGTCCCCGGGACTCACCGGCCCCTCGGAGCAGGTGGACCGCGGGCTGCAGGCGTCCGAGCCTTCGCCGTGGCGTTCCCGCCGCGGGTAGAAGCCGCCGCCCCCCAGCAGTGTCTGCAGGGACTCGATGTAGCTGATGGCGTTGCGGAGGATCTCCACCTTGGGCAGCCGGCGGTTGGGTCCGGCCGCCGTGCATCGCCTCAGCGTCTCGAAGGCGTCGTTGACCTTTCCGAGGCGCCGCCGCTCGCGCATCGTGGCCGCCTTCCTGCGGTCCTCGAGGGACGTGGTCCTCTTGCAGGCCTTGCAGGCCCAAAGCAGGCAGCGGCCCCTCTGGTGGAGGCCCCCCGGGGCCCTCACGTGCCCGTCCTCCTCCTCCTCCTCCTCCTCGTCCTCCTCCTGCTCCTCCTCCTCGTCTTCTAGGACGGGGACGTGGTGGTGGTGGCGGTGGTGGAGATGGTCGTCTGGTTTCAGCAGGCCGGCTTGCAGCAGCCGGGAGTCCAGGTCGTCAAAGAAGTTCATGTCCCCGGTGCTGAAGCAGGGGTCATCGTAGAGGTCGTCGGCCGAGGAGAGCGGGAAGGAGAGGTCGGGCAGATCCATCGGGGCTCCGCAGGGGAAGAGCGACCGAAAGAAAGGAGGTGAAGTGTCTCCTGTCGGCTGGTTCAAGGCAGAAAAGTGTCCTCAGAGGAGCTTAAAGGGCCGATCTGTTAACTTCACTCCCTTCTGCGAAGGAGTCACTGTGGGGGCGGGGCTACGGAGTCACCGACCAATCATCTGAGGTGTGTGTGTGTGTGTGTGTGTGTGTGTGTATGTGTGTGCGTGTGCGTGTGTGTGTGTGTGTGTGTGTGTGTATGTGTGTGTGTGTGTGTGTGTATGTGTGTGTGTGTGTGCGTGTGTGTATGTGTGTGTGTGTGTGTGTGTGTGTGTGTCTGTGTGTGTGTGTGCGTGTGTGTCTGCATGTGTGCGTGTGTGTCTGCATGTGTGTGTGTGTGTGTGTGTGTGTGTGTGTGTGTGTGTGTGTGTGTGCGTGTCTGCATGTGTGTGTGCGTGTGTGTCTGCATGTGTGTGTGTGTGTGCGTGTGTCTGTGTGTGTGTGTGTGTGTGTGTGTGTGTGTGTGCGTGTGTCTGTGTGTGTGTGGACTCAATAGAAAAGTCGTCCCTCAGTCTGCAGATGATTGATCTTTTATATTAATTAACACTAAATTGGCTAAAATCTAAAAGAACGCCTTTAAAAGTCTGAAGACGATCATTGAGCTGCAAGAAGCAACTTTTTTAAGATGATCACATTTCCAGCGTTCAGGGTTTGAAATGTCTACGTATCGTTTTTTTATACGTAGTTGACTTATTTCAACGTCGGCGTCGTTACCTACGAAGAACAGCGCGGCGTATTCTACAAAGTCCAGAGACTTGAGACATTAAGTCATCGTGGATTCATGTGTGACGTTTCTGTGGTTACGACAACCTGAACCACTGTCTTCGCTGAGTTTTTCTCTGTGGATTCAAGCAAGTCACCTGAAAAGGTGTGATCATAAAATCCTTTAATCACACAAAATATGGAAACATCTTTGTCTGTGGTTAAAATAATTGGAGCGATATTATTTTTATAGCGAAATGCCGTTGTTTGAGTTTCACAACCGTTTGTTTTATTGCAGCTCATGGATTTATTCTTTATTTTGTTCTGAAGGAATTGATCTTCCTTCCTCCGTTTATCTCGTAAATGTGTGTGTTGACTTGTGGAAGTGAGACCTGTTGCGTTGGGAAAGGTCTCGCTGCTCAGTGAGGAGACTCCACGTTAAATTTAGCATCTCCTGAAACCTAAGACAAGTGCCCTTTAACTCGGGCCGGCATCTTGTTGGAACGCACCCCGACTCCTCGTCTCTGATGAACCAAGCAAAGGATAGAAGGTGTCCGCCATTATTCATCATTATTCTATAAAAACATCTTGTATTCACGTGTACAAGATGGTGTTCATATGAATTAAAAATGAAAAGAGTATTTTTATATTTCATAAAATTGTCCTAAAATATATTAATGTATTACATGAAATCTCTGGCAGGTTTTATGAAAGTGAGCTGTTTTTATCTTTGTATTATAGAATCAGGAAACATTTATTGCCATAACATATCAGACATACAAGGAGTTTGACTTGTACGTCTTGAGCCTGAAAAGACCTCGGGGCAAGCGGCCAATCAGAGGCCAGGAGAGGGCGAGCGATGCAGGGACCAATCACAGCCGAGCAATGGAACAAAAATGAAGTATTCTTATCGGCTGTCGGATCGTGATGAATCCAACGGGTTAATGGGTTGAGTCGTAGAACCACTTGGTACTTCTCCTACTATCACTTAACATTTCCACTGTGCAACTAGAGCTGAGCTGATGAACTCACACCGACGTCACAGGCCTCATTACCGTAGCGCTCACTCATTTTGTCCCCCCCCCGGATTCCACATGAGACTATTCCTATACGTACCCGCCTACTTCCCTCCCCTGCACCACCGCCTGTGACTCACACGTCTTCTTCTGGTGTCAGAGAGACACGAGAGACACGAGCAGCCAGCCAACCTGCACTTGGTGTTTTTAATGAGAATAAATCAATTAGCTTGTAATTCTACGCTTGTAGTATCTGCAAAATGCAGTTTTAATAAAAACATTTTTTTTTATAAAAATGACTATAAACTATTACTATTTATAAATTATTTCTTGTGTGTGTGTGTGTGTGTGTGTGTGTGTACATATATTAGTGCTGTCAAACGATTCAAATATTTAATCACGATTAATCATATTTATCTTATAGTTAACCCAAAATGAATCAGAATTAATCGCAAATTTGTTTCTCTTCTAAATGTCCCTTAATTTTTCCATATATATTTTTTTCATTTTAATGCTCTTATCAACATGAAAAAATGAATTAATGTTGCTTTATGTTTAAATGCACTTATTGTAAGTCGCTTTGGATAAAAGCGTCATTTTTGGATAAAAGCGTCGGATTGAATACATAATTCAGACATAAATATGAATGTATATGAGTCATTAGTTACCTTTATTGATTGATCCGTCAATTAATAAAAAAGTGAGTAATATGTAATAATGTACATGTAGTAATAAAAGGAACAACGAGGAGTTCACCCGTCTTCCACTGCACCATCCACCGGCAAGGACAGCCGCTTTAAGCAGGGGGGCGGACTGTG